TCACATACCATACAATTCAGTCTTTTAAGAAGTATACAATGGTTTTTAGTATATTCAAAGTTGTGCAACCAACACCACTATCTAATTTTAGAAATTTTTCATCACCCCATAAAGAAACCCATTATCAGTTACATTCTATTCCCCTTACCCCCAGGCAACCACTAATCTAGTTTCTGTTTCTATAGAATTGCCTGTTCTGGACATTTCATATAGATGAAATCACATAATATATGGCCTTTTGTGACTGGCTTCTTTCACTGAGCATCATGTTTTTGAGATTTATGTTATAGTAGGTATCAGTACTTCGTTTTTAGTAGAATAATATCTCATTACATGGTTAAACCACAATCAACAGATCTAGGCATTGTTTGATGGATATTTTGGTTGTTTCCACTTTTTAGCTATGATTAGTGCTTCTATGAACACCCATGTACAAATTTTTGTGTTTTCTTTACCTACTGCTATTCTCATTCTTCTGGAATGGATGAAATGACAGTAGCTCCAGCAGCCATTTCAAGCAATGAGATTAGTATGAAGCCACGTATTAAAGGTGGCAGTGGAGGTGCTGCAGGCCCTGAGAAGTGGGACTGTGACAGGATGGTGGAGGCCAAGGTGGGGTAAGGTGGGTGCAAGCGGGGGCCCGATTGCCGCTGATCACTCTGCAGACAATGACTAGCAGTGGAGTAGGTGAGGGGGCGGTGCCAAGCCCAAGTGGGGCTGAGGCTGGGGGCGTGAGCTGGGGCCAAATCTACACAGGCCACCCCAAGGGACCCCATCCATGCATGAATTCATGTACTGGGCCTCTAGTCAATATATACAGTAAATGCAGCCCAAGACTGATTAAGAAATATAGAAATAAAAGATCAACTCCAGACCTGGGTGACAGATTTTCATTAAAAAACAGCTTACTTCATTTGGTTACTTTTGATTTTTCAGTTTTTCTAGATCTACACCTATCACATCCTTCTCTCCCTTCCCCAACCCCTGCCCTACTCCTCACACACATACATCAAACATTAAGCTAAATGTATACACCTATACTAACAAAATGCCTCACCAAGACAGCTGGCAAAGGTAGGCGGGAAGGCCAGAGGAATTCCATTTTTGCTCACAGTTTTCAGCAGGTCAATAAATTCTTTTCAATTATCATCCCTTGTCTTAGCTGTTTATTTTTTTTATTTTTTTTTTTTGTTTTTTTTTTTTTTTACAAGAACTTCCTGATGTATAACTAACTTAATTCAATTTACTGGCTGAAAAAAAAACCCACTAAACTTATATAGAGTGGCTACTCTATGTTGTATTAACTGCAAAAAACAGTACTTACCCTGTTCCAAATTCTAAGTTCTATTGCCTCATATGTATGTCACAAGGTTAACTGAAAACCACCCCATGGGCTGCACTATGGCTTTAAGAAGAAATAAATTATACACAAGGTTTGGGCAAATGTATGGATACACATAGCAGGAATCTCATGTATATGGATTTAAAGTTTCTCCTTTGAGAATTTTGCAAGCAAACAAAATGATTTATTTAGCCAATTCAAACGAACTGTATCAACATACACAAAGGCCTAAAGAAAAGATTAAAGAGAAAACAAATAATTCAAAACATTTCACTTAGCTCTACAAAGACATGAAAAAGGTGTGGTCATGTTTTCTGAGAAGACATTTTACCACTACTTGCTCCCAAGATAAACACAGCCATAAAAATATATTAAATCCTTCATGTACATCTGGAAGAAATTGTTTGTTAATTCTTTACTAATGGGAGGATCATGTGTGGTCAGACCATAGAGTATATAAACAGATCATTTAGTTATGCTGTGCAGTATAGTAGCACTATACCACGTCTTTTTGAGCACCTGAAATGTAGTTAGAATGACTAAGAAATGAAATTTTCACTTTATTAAATTTAAAACTTCATATTTGCCTCAGTTATTGGAAATTTTTAAACATGGTTAAACATGTTTGGAACAATTTACGGTATGTGAATCTACCCTTTCAATGGTATATTTTATGAAATCTAAATATAGGTCAAGTATTCCTGATGAAAATTTTTACAGTAGATACACAGTGGATTGTGAAAACTTGTATGAAAAGAAATGTAGAATGTCTCATTAATATTTGTGTACATTGACTAAATGCTGAAGTAAAAGTATATAACAGTATTAATTTCATTTTTTAAATGTGACTCCTAGAAAATTGGAAATGACACAGAAGACTTACATGGTATTTCTATCGGGCAAAGTGCGGATCTGAAGTCTAAGAATTCTAATGCCATCTGCTGGATGCACTCATATAAAACAGGCCCATGAGAAACTGTAAAACAAATTCTGTTAACATTTGAACTCCGGGTCTGCAATGGAAGACAATGTAACAGCTAGGTTCATAAAACACTAAATGATCTGCTGTTAAAGAGGGCATAGAGAAGCCGAAACCGGTTTGGCTCAATGGATAGAGCGTCGGCTTGCGGACTGAAAGGTCCCGGGTTCGATTCCTTGGTTGCGGGCATATCCCCAGTAGGGGGTGTGCAAGAGGCAGCTGATTGATGACTCTCTCTCATGGATGTTTCTAACTCTCTATCTCTCTCCCTTCCTCTCTGTACAAAATCAATATATATATTAAAAAAAAAAAAAAAGAGGGCATAGAGGGGATAAATGGTAATGGGAAAAATAAAAAGGCATTGAAAATAGGTTAAAAGTTCTTGAAATCCTAGAGGAAAAGTTGACAGTGATCATGAGCGAGACCACAGAATGTTTGCTATGTCCACCCAAGTTGCTCTGAGAAACAAAAGGTTATTTGAACCTGGCCAGCATGGCTCAGTGGTTGAGTGCTGACCTATGAACCAAGAGGTCTGTCAACCAAGAGGTCACGGTTCAATTACTGGGTCAGGGCACATGCGGGTTGCGGGTTCACTCCCCCGTGTGTGGCCTACAGGAGGTGGCTGCTCCATCATTCTCTCATCACTGATGTTTCTCTCTCTCTCCCTTCCTCTCTGAAACCAATAAAAACTTAAAAAAGGTTACTTTGTGGCCTCTTCCATGACTACTGCCACCCATACTCTTGGGCTTATTGCTGCCTAATTAGCCTTCTTTTCCACAATTTGCCTTGAGTCCTTCTGCTCTACTTTATATATTCTTATATTTGTCTACTGTTTTCCTTCTTTCCTTGTTTTTCTTATGAGTCTAGGAGAGCTTTTTTTTTTTTTTTTTTAATATTCCAGTTTTTCTTTTTGTCTCTTTTGTTCTACAAGCTATTCCAGTGGTTTTGTAGTTTTTTCTTATATTTAGGTCTTTGACCCAATTTGAGTTGGTCTTATATATGGCATGAGATACGGATCCAAATTCATTATTTTGCATGTGGGTAGTTAGTTGTCCCAGAATCCTGTTGAAAAAGCTATTTTTTCCTCATTAGACAGTTTTGGCACCAGTGTCAAAAATCAGGTGATCATAAGTATCAATATATGGATTTATTTTTGAACTCTCAATTCTATTCCATTAATCTATGTGTTTATCCTTATGTCAGTACCACCTTGTTTTGATTTCTATAGCTTTGTAGCAAGTCTTAAAATTAGAAAGTGTGAATGCTCCAATTTTGTTTTTTCAAGATTATTTTGGATAGCCTATGTTCTTTGCAATTCCATATAAATTTTAGGATCAGTTTGTCAATTTCTATAAAAAAGGCAGCCAAGTTAGTTGGTTTTAATGTATCTATATAATAAAAGCCTAAGTGACCCTTATGGCAGAATGACCAGAACTGGTCACTATGATGTGCACTGACCACCAGGGGGCAGTTGGGCTCACAGCTGGCGAGTGTAGCAGTGATGGCGGGAGCCTCTCCTGCCTCTGCTGCAGGCAGGCGATAAGGAGCAAGGGGTCCCAGACTAAAAGGCCTCTGACTGCGAGAGGGATGTCTGCTAGCTTAGGCCCGAACCCTGTGGGGAATGGGCCTACAACAGGTGGACATCCCCTGAGGGATCCCAGACTGCAAGAGGGTGCAGGCTGGGCTGAGAAAACCTCCCACCTCCCAAAGCATGAACTTTGTGTACCAGGTCGCTAGTATTGGACAAGAGGTATTTCCCCGTTTAGGCTGACAGAATAACCATTAATAAGTCTGCAACTCTGCCCAATATGGAGTCTAGAAGTTCTCGGGAGTTTGGGAATTTTGTCTAATATTGTTTGATACTGGGGCAACAAGACTGAAGAAGAAGGTATTGGAAACTGTGTTCAAGTCCTAGATTTGCCATTTAGAGGCCATATGACCTTCTACAAGTCATTGACCTTCTTAACACTCCAATTTGCAATCTATAATGAGAACGGGGGGCACTTATGTCAACACCGTGTGGGACCAAAAAACAGAGGCCAGAGGAAGGTGGGCTCCTGTGGGTGCTTGGAGGAACTGTTGTAGCACATTCTTACAGGACTCACTGGCTTGAGAGATGGCTGTAGGAGTCTTGTGGGCCACCTCCAACTGCCTGTCTGCTGCTAAAAAGATGACACTGACATGTCCTCTTGGAAACCAGACCACTGTCGCTCACACAGTGTCTCTTCATTTGCCACTCTTTGACAGGCGATAGTTTCTCCTGATAGATGCTTCTTCAACTGATCTGAAAGCTGAATCTTTGGAAAAAAAGACATCTACATGCTAACATCTGCAGAAGGAATGGAGCCCTTAAATCTGAGTGAGTCATGGGAGCAGGTATGAAAGACAGGATTACAAACTCCTTGCTGCCAAATATTGAAGCATATTTCTATTCCATCACACTTAAAGCCACATGAATATCTCGCCATACAAATTAGAAAGAAATGAATGGTCACGTGGCCACAGATTTCCCAAGGACCATTCACCTTCTTCCTTGCTGACAAATCCAACCTCTATCTTCTAGGGGAAGGACAGGAAAACAAAATTACATTTCAGTTCCTAAAATCAAGTTATTTTCTCTGCTCTCGGAGAAAAAGACACCACCAACAGCATAGACCCAAGTCAGGATGCTTTTTAAATTCATGTCACTTGTTTATAATAAGATATCATATCATCCAGAGTTTCAAAAGTGACCTTGGGGGCTTGTGGTGGACTGCTGGGAGCAGGAGTAGGTGATGTATGCGAACAGCTGGGGTCATGGCTTTGGCCAGGGTGCTGCCCTGCGTCACTCTGGGCAGGTGCAGGTCTGCTCCATGTCTGGCTACTGAAAGCACCAGTTCTCTTTTGACCCACAAAGTAATCCGACGGTGGGGCAAACTCAGGATCTCTTTCCGCCCGGAGATCTGACTGTCTCTTCGACCAGTACCCAAAGGAAAATTCTAGTAAAAATAAGAAAGAATGTTATTAGAACTGATTATTGAATGAGATGAATTTACTGTTATTACTTTTCAATTATTATATGTATTTCTTAAAAGCCACCTCAAATTCTCTGGAAAGCAAGGATAGCAATACAAAAATGTAGTATGAGACACATGCAATGCCTATTGAAGAATAAGGAACCAAGCTAAGGGAGTGACTACTTCCTAAAGGCCAAAGGTTCAAGAAAGGCTGTGTGGAGAAGTCTGCAGACTCTGGAAACATTGCCAAAGAGGCACTAAAATTAAATTTAAGAGAAATACAGAAAAATTAAACACTCAATCATTTGCTTGATTATGTTTAAGAAACTCAATCATTATGTTGCAGGTACTTCACAACAAACACAAGTGTTGTCCTCTGAGTTTTAGATAAGAAGGAACTTGTCCATATTTGGTCTTTCATCTCTATTTCCAACTGAAATGTACTAAAAACACAATATATTAAAATATCAAATCTTCATAAATTTTGAAAGCAGTTCCTAAGAAATGACATTCCAAAGCTGCAATGAGGCAGCACTAACTTCAGAAAACTTCCTCCAAGCACTTCAAAAAAACAAAACTCTCATCCTTTGACAAGATGCCTTATGGATCCTGGTTTTTTATAATCACCCTTTCTAGAGCTCCTGTTTATTTTATTTGGTTTTTGGTGGGTTTTTTTATTTTTTATTTTTTTTATTTTACTGATTTTTGACAGAGAGAAAGGGAGAAGGGATAGAGAGTTAGAAACCTCGATGAGTGAGAAACATCGATCAGCTGCCTCCTGCACACTCCCTATTGGGTATGTGCCCACAACCAAGGTATACACCCTTGACCGGAATCGAACCTGGGACCCTTGAGTCCACAGGCCAACGCTCTATCCACTGAGTCAAACCAGTTAGGGCTAGAGCTCCTGTTTATAAACAGCTCTGTCTGGGTATCAAGAAGAACCAAGTTCAAGGATCTGAAGAATTCTTTAAGACTCAAAGGACCACTAAGATTCATCAGAATCACATTTGGATCAGGAGAACCAGAAAAATTTCCTGTGCAGTGCCCATTACTGGATAGGTTTTTACACCTTGGAGCCACCTCTTACCTTTTCCTCTGTCCCACTCCCGGACGTGTGGCACTCCAGGTCTGGTGTCCTTCCTCTCTTGAACGATGACTTCCACTTTGCTACGCTGGGCAGCTATAGGTGGAGTTGGCATGGCCTCTGGTTCTGGTGGCAAAGGCCCAATAACATTTCCATCTGTTTTTTGAAAGGAAATAAGACTTCATTATAATAAAGCTTAAAGCTACTTAATTTTAAAAAAAATAGAATATACTAATCCTGGGAGTAGAATAACCAGTATTTACTAAGCACCTACCATGTCCCAGGCAGTGGGCTAAGTACTTTGAATATGATAGTTCACTTAATTCTGTAACAACCCTAATAAAGCCAGTATTGGTATTCCCATTTTATCCCCATTTTGTAGATGAGAAAAATTAAGTTCCAAAATACTGCATAAGTCAGAAGTGACAAGAATCAGGACTTAAACCCAAGCTGGATGGATTTCAAAGTATCTATATCCCCAGACCAACAATCAAAAGACCAGAAATCTCTTATTACTCAACTAAAGTAAATCTCAAGCAAAGCAAGGGGGCTTGTGGTGATAAAGAGCTGGAGACTGGCGATGGGCTGTAGGCTATTCAATTTTGGCCATATTTTAAATGAAAATGGAGTTTTTAAAACACTTTGGTGACACTTCACAACTTGTGGAAATGATAGATGTTCAGGAGTAGAGCAAAAATAACATGCAGAACTTAATATGTTACAGGGGAGATAACAGTTATATGAAACTAAATGAATGATTTTCCAATTACAAATGTTTCTGGTTTCCTTTCAAAACCAAATTGAATAAAAAAAAAAAAAAAAGAAAGAAAGAAAGAAACACCCAAAAATTGAATTTCTGTTCAGAATTAGAAAACAGTCCATAGCTTAACACAAGCTACTGTAAAAACTGGAGGCTTCTATATACCTCTAGTATCCATACACCCCTCTCCTTTTGGGACCAGAATGCCCTATTTCAGCTGGATACAAGGCACCTCGCCAGAGGCTGTCCCCAGCCTCCCTGCCTTATGGTACTGGCCTCCTTGTCTTCTGGCCAGTGGAATGTAAACACATAGGTTCTGCCTGACTTCTGACTCACATTCCCCAAAAGGAAGCTCGTTCCCTTCATTCTTTCCTCCTTCCCCAAGGCTGAATCAATGAACAGGTTCTGGGGAGCGAGTTTCAACTGTTCAGGTTAGAGCAACCCTCTAGGAAATGACAGAAATGGCAAGACAGAATGAAGCTAAAGACTGGATGGCCATCTGAGGCAGACCTACTATCCACTGGTCCACCCACCTCTGAAATGTTAAAAGGAGAAGCATGATTTCCTCTAGTTTGAGGCAGTTTATGTGGGTCTCTTTGTCATGACAATTTGGCCCAGACCAACATAATTCATAGTGACCTGGTTTGAAAACACTAGTTAACAGCATTTCCAAGTGTTTTAACAGTCTTTTCATAGGCTGACCATAGTCATATTTGTATATTATTTAATTCTTTGACTTTGTGTATTTATTATTTAAAATAAGTTACTATATAATCAACAAAAATTGTAGCCACAGCAAAACAAATTAAGTTACACATGTACACAACTAAACTGAGTTACTAAACTGTTCTGTTCTATGAAGTGACTCAATGTACTGTTAATGTCCTTATTTATAACTTAAATTACTCCCTAGAATGTCATTCGCATCACACTGGTTATAAAAATTGCTCCTGTCAGTACCTTAGAAGTGCTTTCTTAATGGCTAATTTCTCAGCCTTATTACTGAGACATCAATGGAACTAAAATTTTTCCTTTTGAAGTTTACTGACATGGGCCATGACATACCTTTACTTTCTTCCTCTGCTCCATCATCTTTCGATATTTTCATCTTTTTTTGTCGAAGCTTAGCAAGTCTTGCTTCTAACATAGCCTTTCGCTTTTCTTTTATATTTTCTCGTTTTGTTCTTTGGTCTGTTGTCTGAAGAGAACAGAAAATTATAAAATTATTTGCTTTAAGCCAAATTCATAATACTTCTTTTTAAAGGATGAAATAATTTTATTTAAAAAAAAATAGACTAAATGATTTTCATGCCACCTCTAAGAAGCTATCCTTGAGATCATCAAAATGAAGACTTGTAAAGTATTCTCTTTCACGGAATTCTGATGTTTTTGAAGTTTAGAAAGCATTCACAGAGCATTCTGAAAGGTTTAAGATTTAAGAAAACCAACCAATTCTGTTCTACTCCTTAATCCCTGAAGCAACTTTCTATTTTCTTACCCAGACCACCCCAAAAATATATTAAAAACCAAATTTAAAATTACACAAGTTACTTCTGGGCAGCATAATCTTAAATCTTGAAACACCAAGATTATATTCTAAATATCAATTTAAATCCCTGATTAATTTACTGGATTTTTTTCTCTCAGTATTGTCCAACAAGAAATCAACTGCTTAAATCTTTCTTTACATCAACTCTCAATGTAATTTATACCTGTTCACGCAGCATCTCTAAAGTTTTCATTTGCTTGTTTCTTAGCTCTTTATCTCGGGCAAAGGCAAAATATCCAACACCAAGTTGCCGGGCCTCTGAAATGAGTCAAAATTACACGAGAGATTACAGATTTCCTGATCAGTAAATTATATCCTACAAGAAATTTGGCAAAAAAGAAATACAGTGATATTTGATACAAGTTTTTAAAAAGAAAAGGCAGATAAACAAAAAAGCAAGTTAGAAATAGTTCTCATCCTGTTTGCCAAGTGATAAACATAACAAAAATTCATTAATTTTCAGTCACAGACTGTCTCCACTTCTCTTGAGGAACAAGCCCTTAGGTTAATATACTCTCTGTTAAGATATTTCCAATATGAGTATTTTTTTAGGCTATAAAGTAAACAAAGAGGATAGTATCAATTTCCGAAGCAGAATCTTTTATTTCTACATAGGAACTGCTGCTTTATGAATGAATACTTCCCTTTATGTTTGTCATTAGTTCAAGATAAAAGCATGATTTAAAAGCTGCAAGAGATTATACCATTTTCACGAATGTCTTCATAATGTATAGGCCCCATTGGCCTTTTCAGGGCCTCCCGTTCTTCTTCCTCCCATTGCTGGCGCTGAAGTTCTTTTCTCATGTCTTCAGACAGTAAGGTCTTTTCATTAGCAGGACTAACAAAACTAGTAGGAAAAAAAGAGCAAAAACTATCTTTAGATAAGAACTGTGAGATAGCAATGCTTCATTAAACTCAATCATGAATCAGTACCTCTAATTGATAAAAAAAAGACAGTTCCTTACAGAGGTTTCTGACCCACCAGATCACTGGGCAATAGAGAAAATATTTTCACCTTTTAAAAATCAAGCAGCAGATTTGTTACATTAGCATAATGGAATTTTGCCTGCACTCAAGACAAACCACTTTTCTTCCCACCCGAATCCTGGGCTGAATAGAGGGAGGCAGCCCAGGCGAGGAGGAGGAAGAGAAGGCCTCCTCTGGAAGGTCTCCCGTGCAGGGCTGAGGAAGCTCCTTCACACGGTGACCTGGTCTGTGCCTCGTGTTCTGAGATGGCTTAGGGGTTCTGCCCTTCCTCCTTTGTGCCTAGCCCAGGCCCACCTGAACCTGTAGGACTTGGACAAGGCGGAACTTCTCCCAATACTTTGCACATAAAACCTGCTCTTAGTAAGAAGAATTTTATTCCTGAGAATGTTTTAGCAAGTTATCTCTTAGGTGTCTTAGGCCTCACAGGAAAAGAAAATCTAGCTATAAGACCCTACTTTAAAATCCAAAGATATATAAAGAACAAATTAATGCCCTAGCCAGTTGATCAATGGTAAGAGCATCCGCCCACAGACCAAAGGGTCATGGGTTCAGGTCACAGGTTCGGATGCTAGTCAAGAGTGCATACCTCAGTTGCAGGCTCAATCCCCAGTCCCCACTGGGGCACATGTGTGGGAGGCAACCAACCAATGTGTTCCTTTCACATCAATGCCCCCAACCCTCACCCCCTGCCATCTCCTCATTCCCCTCTAAGTATCTCTCCCCAAAGGAAAAAAAAAGAAAAAAAAAAAAAAAGGGAGAAATATGGGGTGAGGATTGAATTAAAAAAAAAAGAAAAAGTTAATAAGCTGTCTCCCTGCACTCCACTTGCTTTGGAATAACCAAGTGTATATCTTAAACACCTTTCTCCACAAAGCTTTGTTGGTTGATTTGGTTTAGCTTATTCTATATTTGTTACTCTGTAATTACACATCCTTCCATGTACAGGCATACTTTACTTTATTGCACTTGCAGATACTGTGTTTTTTACAAATTGAAAGTTTGTGGCAACCAAGCAACAAACAAGTCTACTGGTGTCGTTTTTTCCATACTTCTTTCTTCCTTTTCCTCTTTTTTAAAGCTGTGTGTCTCAGTTTGGGGCTTTTTATGTGTGGTTGCCATTAACTTTATGAAAAAGTTGCATATACATAATTTTTCTTTCTTTTGAGTACATCTGATCTCCATACACTGATTTTTTTAGACATAATGCTATTGCACACAAATTAAGACTTTAGTATAGCATAAACATAACTTTGATATGCAATGGGAAATCAAAAACTTTGTGTGACTTGCTTTATTGTGCTACTCATTTTATCATGGTGGCGTGGAACTAAACCCACAATAGCTCTGGAGTATGCCTGCAAACAGATATAACTCTAACTCATCCCCCTTTTAGTAGCTACATGATATGGAGCATCCATTCAGGCTGTTCCCTGAGAGTGAATTATGTGTGTATGTGTACACTAACCATGAATAAGTGCTTCGGCAAATATTCTTATACATTAAAAGAAGATCTCCTTACTGGAGCACTAAAGATAATTGACTAAAGACAGCCTTGCCCACTAACTTAGCCCTGTGTCTGCATTTCAGACCTGGGCAAAACTTTGCATATAACACACTTACAGCCTCCCCTGAAGATTTTTATCCATCTCCAGCAGATGTGGCAAATCCTTTTTCATGCAGCGCCGGGATCGCCCTAAGGAATCTACATAGTCCACCCTGAAATAAAAGTGAAACGGTGTGAATGCTTTGTACAGGACATATAGTTCCCTAAGTTATAAGTTGTTACACAGTAAAAAATTATAATAACATAGGGCTTATAACCAAGAAAATCTCCCAATCTGAGAGATTATCACTGATAACATGCTTTTTAGTTAAAAGTTGGCACACAATAAACACATTGTGCCCTTTATTAAATCTTAGTTTTAGAAAATGAGTGATCATGTAGTCTCTGATTTCAAAGATAAATACCCATACAAATCCTTGCTGCACATGTCAGAACTTACTTAAGGAAATTCCAAATACTTCATCAGCATTATAACTTTGCTTTGAACCAGACTCTAATTTAATATCCTCAGTCTTCCCAAATCTGACACTTTACCTTGTCCTTTTTTCCCCTTCTAATTGGTATGATTCTTCCCAATGAATTAGAAATTATTTCTTAATATAAGTCACAGTACTTTGGAACTCTTTTTTAAGTAGGAGAAAACCAAAAAGCACCTCATCAGTAGGCCAATCTGTTATCTTTTATCACTCGTTCCTCTTTCCTAATCTTGTCCAAACTAGATAGCAGTTAGAGAAGTCAGGCAGAGAGCAAGGCAAATGAAACACTTTTCACAACAGGTAACATGGACAGATTTTCATGGAAAACATTTCATTTGCATTATGATGCAACAAATTTTATTTTTATAATTATGGGCAGGGAATTTGCCACAGATAAGAACACAGAAAGGGGCCAGTACTGTTGGTGGACCAACTCAATGTCAGATTCCCATGTATGTGACCAGGCTTTTGTCAGCAATTTCTTTTTACACATGCGATTCCAATTGTCAGTCCATGATTTAAAATCTGGCACACGAAATTGGGAATCCATTACTACAGTCCTAAAGCTGATTAGCACAAGAAATAAAACCAATTGCTAAAAGCAGTTTCTTTCTTTTTTTTCTTCTTTTCCTTTTTTTAAAAAATGAATAGAGGAAGAATATCATCTAGCCAGATGTCTAGGTAATTACACTATTTTTGCAGAAACATTTTCCACCACCTGGAATTTAACTACTGAAAGGATTTTACAAGCAGTTACAATTTTAGAGCCTAATTCAAAAACAAAAAAAGTGTCAGAACTGTTTTCAGTGTGTCTTCTTTTTCCATATGTTGGCAGTGACACCTTCAACAGCCCTCCAAACTCTTCAAATCACTGACAAATTGCTATAATCTTACAGGCATTAATAAGGAAAAGAAAAAGGCACTAAACCTTTCAAAGGAGATGGGATTTCAGCTATGAAAAGCAATCATAGGCTATTCTGTTTCTGGAGAAGGCCTCCGAAACATGCAGAGCCCATCAAAATAGAATAAATGGGATATGCAAGACAATAGCAACTGCTCTATGTAATCAGACCCTGAGCAAGGTCTCGGGGAAACAATTACTTGAGGCACCAGAGTAACACGAGACCTCAGTCATGTATCTTCAAAGAACAATGGGGGAAGCTAAAGTACATGCCCATGAAATGCTTCACTAATAACAGCAGGCAGGATGTTGGAAGTATCAAAGTTTGCCTCAATTATTTTTCTGTTAATGAGGCCAGTTACCATATAATAAAAAGGTAATATGCAAATTGACCATCACACCCTTGCACAAGATGGCCAGCAGGGAAGGGCAGTTGTGGGTGATCAGGTCAGCAGGGGAGGGCAGTTAGGGGCGACTGGGCTGGCAGGGGAGGACAGTTGGAAGTGAGCACGCCTGCAGGGGAGGGAGTTAGTTACTACCAGGACATTTTCATAGGGTCAGTGCACCTCTAATGGTTTTCAGCACTTACAAACAAGTTTCTAAACAACATTTTAAGTGGAGAATATAATAATGGAATTTGCATTCTGGTGGGTGGGACCAGGCCTGCAGGGGAGGGCAGTTAGGGGCAATTGGGCCAGCAAGGGAGCAGTTAGGCATTGATCAGACTGACAGGGGAATGGTTGGGGGATTGGGCCTGTCGGACATCCCCTGAGGAGCCCCAGATTGGAGAGGGTGTAGGCTGGACTGAAGGGACAACCTCCCCACCCCATCCCCAGTACACAAATTTCTTGAACCAGACCTCTGGTGTGTCAATAATAAAGAAAAGGTAAGACCCAAAGGAGCAGGAAAGATTTAAGTGCTGCCAGAGTTCAAGGGAAGAATCACTAAGAATGAAGCAGCACTGATAGAAGAGACTGCACTGCATGTGCTTCTCTCTTGGTGACTTACAGCAAGCATGCAGCCAAATAACCTCCCCCAAATATAAGTTTTTAGAAGGTAGGTAAGAAGACACCTGTTCTATCCCAATACACGTTTTATCTGGATTGAAGTGGACACCCTCACAAGTATGAAGAGGTGCAGCCTGTGCTCCACAAGAGAGACTGCTCTCTTCAACTCATAAATGACCCCTATCCACTGGTCCCAAAGCTGACAAGTCACCAAATGCTGCAAACAATGTACTTTTACTCTAACTTTCAACAGTTCTTGATAAAGAAGCCATGATGAGGAGATACTTGAGCCTTGAAGAGAAGTAGGTGGCCTCTGCACAGGCACAGGGTGGGCAAGCAGAGTTAGTTACTACCAGGACATTTTCATAGGGTCAGTGCACCTCTAATGGTTTTCAGCACTTACAAACAAGTTTCTAAACAACATTTTAAGTGGAGAATATAATAATGGAATTTGCATTCTGAATTTATTGACACATTGGTCTCTTTTTAGGGAAACAACTAGACTGGCTTCCCTATTACTGACCTACATGTAGGTAAAATTCAGAATAATTTCAGTAAGAAAGCTATACTCCAGACAGCAGTTTCTTGGGTATTCTAAAATACTTTTAGTTTGTGAAGAAAGTTTAAGGCAAACAATCAGGGGAAGTAAGCACTGACATCACTGTGTTAGAGGCGAGGAAAGTGAACCTCAGGTTGGTGTGGTCCCATTGCCAGGGAAAGGCAGAGCCAGTGCTGTCCAGGTCCAAGTCCACAGTGCCTTTATTAAATTGCCAGAAAATGTCACAGCCAGAGTAAGGCTTACTAGAAACAGAGATCACCACTGCCTGGACAAATGACTCTCCATGAAGTCTGAATGAGGACATGGGCAGCGAAGGGACATGCTTTTGACTAAGCAACTCTTTCACATCAATGCCTCCTGTACCTGGCACAGTGCTTGGCACAGAGCAAGAGCTTAGTTTTTATTTGTAATTATTTCTTTATTGGAGCTACTGTTTCTACATCTGTAAATCCAATCTTACTTAAAGTGGAGTCTCAAAAGAAAAAAAAACCCAAAACTAAAGGATAAAGAGAAATGGTTTGTTAACAACCAAATGAAATCACTCTTAAAAAATAAACACAAGCCTGACAATGTTAATATGATCAAATCACGTAATATCACCAACCATTCTTCACTGGGGTCCTGGGGAGGAGGTATATCTGTTTCAGAAAGATTTTCTTCATCCTCATCTCTTTCTCCTGCCTTTCTAGAATCTCGATTGGCACCAAATGACTCCATTTCTTTGTGCTTGTCTATCATCTTCTGTGTGAAATCCACAAGGTACATATCCTCCACTTCTTCATCTAGGACATAAAAATCAATTATCAGATTCTTGACATCAAAGAAGAAAACGACACATAGAATTGATATGAAGCAGTCACAGTCATTGATGGGTGACTTCCCGTCCCTGAAGATTCACTAGTTGATGACTCCACCCCCTGGAACACTTAAAAAGACAAAACCACCTCAGGACCTGCCAGGGAAGTTATTAATAGGCCACTGGAGACATACTTGAAAAAAAGTCTTTAAAATGCCTGAAGCTTCTGCTGCGTTGTCAATACACTGAGTAATCAATACTGCCTCAGAATGTCATTTTAAGATAACAAAACCATTTGATTTCAAGAGACTCATATGGCTAATTACATATTACAGGAGAAGTGCATTTTTCATGTTGTCAGACCAAAACAATAGACCTCTCTAATCAGGTGACCTGTATTATTTAATCCTAATTATATTGTTATGGTATGGTAAGTGTTTTAAGGGTCATGACACAGGTAAAAAATCATCTAAATTCTTTTCAACCCAATGAACAGCACTTTCAGACAAGACATGTTGCCAGGATCTACAGGGCATACAGAAATGTGTGAGATGCTATCTTCCTCAGGACTTAAGATCTACTTGAGCTAAAACATATAATGAAAAGTTAAATAGCAGTCCAGGACTTAATTTAGCCCAGGATGTCTGATGTATTCACAAATAACGTTGACGTGAAGTTTCCCTGTGTGGGATTTCAGATACATCTGAGTCTTTTTGTCTGAGATGGAACAGATACCAGGTACCGGTATTATACCACTGGGCAGGAAAGAATAACAGAAGCTCCAAAATTTAATTTGCCCAAATATGTAAGCCCAATATGCCTATTGGGAGGTGGGCTTGCAGTTTGGACAGAACCAAATCCCTATAAGCATACTCTTTTGGATCTGAATCCCATATTAATAAGTAAAGTTTGAATCAAAAGAGAAAAGACTTGAACTTTTTCTTAATAAAGAAGTATAATTTTTTACCTATAAAGTCTCCTTTGGTCATTTTTTCATATAATTTAGCTTTTTCTTCCAATTTTTCCCTTGGAGAAAACAGAACAAGTATTAAAAATGTCTTATTAACTGCCGTCCCTGAAAACACTGCTCCACCTCAGTTTCAAGCTGGCAGCCAGGAAAGGCAGGCCCTGGCCAGCAGCCAGAAGGCCCCAATCAGCCCTGATTGCTGGTCAGGCCTGGGACCCTACCCGTGCACCAATTTCATGCACTGGGCCTCTAGTTAATAGATAATATATAATAGATATTACTATTTTATCACTGTGTTTATATAGAAGAATGTCCTTTTTAGAAGATATATGTCAAAATATGTAAAGTATGATGTAACAAAGTTTCTCTATACAAACGAGATAGAAAGAGAATGTAGAAAGATGTTTATTTGTTAACTTAGGTGAAGAGTATTAGAACGTTCTTTGTGCTTTTCTTTCAATTAGTCTGTTGATTTAAAGTTTTTCATATTAAAAAGTTGGGGGAGCCCTGGCAGCCATTGGTTACAGCATTCACCCTAGGGCCAAAGGTTGTCAGGTTTGATTCCTGGTCAAGAGCACATAACTAGTTCACTCCCTGCCCACAGTCAGGGCATGTGCAGAGGCAACCCAATCCAAGTGTTTCTCTCACATCTAAGTTTCTCATTCTCTTTTTCCCTCCCTCCCTTCATCCCTCCCTCCAATTCTCTTTGAAAAGCAATAAAAAAAATATCTTCAGGTGAGGACTAAAAAAAAGTTTTAGGAAAAATTTAGTTTCTAAATGCTAACATCATATGCCCCTAGCCCAGAACCACACTCCCACGCACTTCTTAAGATCCATGATCTTAGTGCCTAAAAGAGGCTCAAAGTGGAACATAAGGCAATGTCTTATCTTCTTCTAAGATTGTTAATACATCTGTAAATCACATTATTTTTAGAGTCTATTTTATAGTTACAGAGTATTTGGCTAGAAGGATTATAAAAATTTAAATTGCAAATAAAAAAAGAATAAAAGTTGAATTTTCATTTCTTGGCTTGGGCAGTTTCAGTGATAACTACACTGACCAGAGTTCAGCTTTATACCTTGCTTTGTCTAAAGTCTTCTGTTCCTCAATCTTCTGTTCCGCATCCTTCTCAGCGCGATTTGAAACTCCTGCATTCTGTTTGTTCCAGATACTTGGTTTCTGGAGAATTTAAAAGACAAAACAGAACCACCAAATGGCTGCAAAACATCTCTACTTGTATATCAGAAAGAAAAAGAAAAAAAAGGACCATCAGATCTTATGAATCAATGGAAATAATTAGATCTTCTGACAGCCAGCTTATGTCCTGCAAATGGAGTGTACACGGCAAAGCTGGAGTTAAAAAGAAAAGCCCTGAATTATATAAAGTTTCTTTATACACTGCATAGGGTTACTTCTTTATCTTTTTATCTCCTGAATGACTCAAGACTATAATGAAAATATATTACAAATAATTAGTAATACAAATAATAGACACCATTACCTATAAAATTGGAAAACAACTCTTAAAGATCCTGATATTTTTTGCTATATTTCTATATTATCTGTTTGTCTCTCTGGATTTATAACACATATGTAACCAGATAATCTTCCACAAGAATGTAACAAACCACTTATTAAGAACATGTACTTTTTTCAAACAAAGAATAAGAGCATTAATAGGTGCTTTCCCCTAGCTGGTTTTGCTCAGTGGATAGAGCATCAGTCTTCTACTAAAGGGTCCTGGGTTTGATTCTGGTCAAGGGCACATGCCTAGGATGTGAGCTCGATTCCCAGTAGGGGTTGTGCAAGAGGCAGCCAATCAATGATTCTCTCTCATCATTGATGTTTCTATCTCTCTCTCCCTCTTCATTCCTCTCTGAAATAAATATACATATATGTTTTTTAAAAGTGCTTTTGAATAACCTTACAAATTTCTATTTTAATATTTAAGACATCTCATGCAGATGTTCAAATGCAAGTCAGGAATTTTTCCTTAATATTTGTATGTAGCAGAAACCACAAACACTTAAAAAACAAACAAACAAACAAAAAAAAAACCAACTCCCAACCTCTCTCCTGGCATTATTTCAGATCAATGGAAATAATTAGATCTTATTCTTACCTTATTAGTTGTTTTTGGTTTTCCCAAAACTCCAGAATCTTTTAGAAGTTTTTCTTGTTTGAATTCTTCTTGTTTTCGAAAGAGTTCAGCCTTAAGGTCTACCAACTAAAATAAAACCAATAAACAAACAAAAACATTTATTTAATTCTATGACTGACTGGATTATTAAGTTATTATAATTCTCAAAGCAAGATTCCAAGTTCCTATAAGTGGACAAAAATGAATACAAAATTAAAAGTTTACATGTAGAATCCAATCCAAAATCAAACTAAATCATATTTCATCCTAGCTCTGTTGGAAATATACTTTTACTCTAACTTTCAACAGTCAAAGGCTTTTTTCTGGGCAAAGGGACATTGATAAATCAAAGTAAATAAAGTCGGCATCTTCTAGAGTAGAATTCAACTAACATTAAACACCTTTCTGATTGGCACTGTACTTGCCTTTTATATATGATATAATCTCATGTAATCGTCACAACAATTTATTACTGCTATAGGGAAATTTCTTTGTTTAGTAACTATCTAAGTCCCTAGTATGTGCCTGGCACTTAACACTGACGAGTGGGATAAAACATTAATTAGACATACTCTGGCCTAATATGAAACCTACAATCTAATAAGAAACCTATAATACCAGTAGGAAGTAATTAATGCTCTAAGAGTGGTAGAAAGGAGCATAAAAGTTCAGGTTAGGGAGCAATTTCTTCTGTCCAGAGTGATCAGAAGCAGCCTGGAGCTGAACTTTAAAAGATAGGCAGATTTCAACAGCCAAACAAAGTAGAGTGAGTGAATGCTAAGAATGCTTCCAGGTCTGTTTTAGTATCTTCCAGAAACTCTAAGTTCAACTCAATCACAGAGTTCAAGAGCAGGGAAGGCCAGGCCAAAGGAAACAGCACAACTAAGTGAATACCCAGGTCTAGCCCTCAGCTGTATCAGACACCACTGTCTACTCTGCACAAAAGGACACAACGGCAGTTTCCTTTTTACTGATCTGGTACAGTTGCTTATACACGTGGGCGTTTGTAAATCAACTTATAAAGTCCAGCATCATGGACTGAATTTTAAGGAAAACCAAAATGATTAAGTCCAAATGTAAGAAATTGATTTAATAGTAGCCTTAGCAGGAATAATAGAAAGGGCAGTCCTTCCCAGGACCTAATATTCTAAATTTAAAAAAATTAAAAACCTTTCACCTTTTCTTCTAAGCTCTTAACCACATCACTTACCTAACCACACATTTTCCTATTCTACAACTTTTGAATTTTAAAAGGAAGCTACTCAGAAAATTGTCAATTCCCCGCTGGCATTCCTATTATTATCATTGCTAATTTTAAGCTGTTAGGATAACTTTAACATTTATACATATATGTTTATTCTTAATCCTCAAACATAATAATTCCAATTTTCAGTGTGAGATGAGAAAATGGGGTTCAAATATTGGGACATGTAGATTTTTCCTTATACTTCCCTTGCATACGAATAGCTCTACAGTAAATCCAAGATTAAACCAAAGGTTAGGGGATGTGTTCTGATACAATGAAAAAGGCAACCAAACTGAGTGAGCCAGTTCTATCACCAAAAATTCTGTATATAAGCTGGGAATGTCACTGCATCTTTGTACTTCCTCATGTATAAAATGGGGATCTTACCAGCACCTACTTTGGGGGAAGCCGATGAGACCGTACATGTAAAGCACTGGCATTAAAATAAGAACACAGAGCAGGTTTTCTTCCTAGAAGAGCTAACTTAAAAAAAAAAAAAAAAAAAAAAAAAAAAAGCCTCTTGCTCAGCAGCGTGGCTCAGTGATTGAACTTGGACCTATGAACCAGGAGGTGCCAGTTCGATTCCCGGTCAGGACACATGCTTGGGTTGCAGAATCGATACCCAGTGTGCTGCATGCAGAACGCAGCCGATCAGTTACGCTCTCTCATCATTGATGTTTCTCTCTCTCTCCCCTCTTCTTCTCTATAAATTAAATATATTAAACAAAAACCCTGTGACAGCACCCAGGCATCGCATTTCCTGCGCTGCATTAACAACGATGTAGCTCCTGTCAGGGGAAAGGCCACAATGACGTTTGGGGGACCTCCCTGGTCTCTGGGTGGGAGAACCAGGGAGGGGGAGGTGTACGCTCAGCAGCACAGGCCCGGGCGCCTCGCCGACCGGCAGGAAGGCGGGCTGGCAAGGCGGCCTGGACTGGGTGTCCCGGCGGGAGGCAGGGTGGTTCCTGCCAGAGGAAAGACACCAGGCTCAGGGGCATGTCTGAGGGGGAAGCCCGGTCCGAGGGCACCTCCGAGGGGGGGAAACCACGTTCGGGCTCCAGTAGGTAAGAAAGTTGGTCCGGTTTCCCGTCTGAGAAAAGCCAAGTCCGATTTCTGTCTGAGGCGAGGCCGGGTCTGGGTCCCCGAGGTAAAGAAACAAACTAGGCCAGGATTCCTGGGGGCGAAAAAGAACTCGGAAGCCGTGGCATCATCTCTACCCGCACTCACCGAGGAGGCCGTGACCTCCAAGGGCTTTTTCCTTCGGTCCATGGTGAAGCCGGAGGGTCCCAGCACAAACTGAAGCCTTCACAGGCCCCCGCAGAGGTCTATCTCAGCCCGCCTCCGGCGCAACCGGAAGTGCCTAGGATTAGAGCGACGCCGTTTACGACGCTGGCGTAAAGTCAGGAAGGTCGTGATGTGACGCAAACGCGCCTGTCGCCATTTTCAGAAGGTCAGGATGCCCAGGGGGGAGGGGGAAGCTAACCATGGACGCCATCTTGAGTGTGGAATGTGGAAAAGGACTAACTAGGCGCCATGTTGAGAAGGTCTCATGACCTGGGCGCGAAGGGCGCCATCTTGAGTGGGTCAATTAGGGGTGGCGAAGGCGCTATTTTAATGGAGGAGAAAGGAGCTGAACGGAAAAGAAAGGCGAATAAAGACTGGAAAGATCTAAATACCATTTGAGGATCTGCTGAATGCCAGGCACTGTCTGGCAATTTTCGCACGTTGATTTCATTCTCACAAGAGTCATACGATATAGGATTATATTAATTTTAGTAGGAATAACAATAATAATAGTAGTAGTAGTAGTAGCATTTGATATCATGCTTACTTTGTGCCACTTCACATATTTCAGTTTCTAAGATCAACGTCCTCGTTGGAAATGCTCCTTCACCATGTACAATGTAGGCTCTGTGACCTTAGGAAAGTTGCTTAACTTTTCTGTGCCTCGGGCCCCACATGAGAATGAAACAGTATTTACTTCATGGGGTTTAATGAGGATTAAATGAGCTACTCGATAAAAATATTAATAATAGTGATAGACTAATGGCCCCTCCCCCCCCTCCTAAGATGTCCATCTTCTGATCCCCAGAATTTGTGACTGTAATCTTCTGTGGCAAAGGGGAATTTGCAGATGTGATTAAAGATCTTGAGATGGGGAGGTTATTTGGGTGAGCCCAATGTGATCACAAGGGTCCTTGTAAGAGCGAGGCAGAGGGGTCAGAACCGATGAGACGGGTCAGAAGATGCTCCACGGTGGGCTTTGAAGAAGGATGATGGGACCACTGCCAAGAAACACAGGCAGCCTCTGGAAGTGAATCCTCCTCTGGACGCTCCAGAAGGGATGCAGCACTGCTGACAACTAGACTTTAGCCTCGTAAGGCTCGTTTCAGACTTTTCGCCTCCAGAACTCAGAAAAGGAAAAGAAAAAAAAGACAAAGAATAGATCTGTGGCATTTTAAACCACTAAGTTGTGGTAGTGTGTTACAGCAGCAATAGGAAACATACTGATGGTAATGATTGTAGCAAGGCTTTACGACATGACAGGAGCATGTGTAATATGTGTAACATAGACTATCTTGTTTAATCATTGAAATGGTCCCACTGGTGGGAGCTATTATCTCCATTTTACAGAGGAAGAAAAATGAGGCCCAAAAGGTTAATTGACGTGCCAAGGGGCATTTGCCAGCTTGCAAGTGAAGGAGCCGAGAGTCAGAGAATAACTCGGACGTAGAGTTAATTGTTTGCACCCTGTTCACTTAGAAAGAGAAGGACCGATATAGCTTGAGTTCGTCTAAAAAAGGCTAGAAGGGGATTTACATAAAAGAAAGAGGACGTGGGAGAAGAAGGGCTGTAAACAGATCAGAAATCATTAACTTCTGTTTCATTACCCTACCGAGGCTGTTGGGACTGAGACCAGAGCGTTTTGATCTCGGGAAGCTAGAAAGAAATTAATTTTAGTTGCTCATGGACATCCCAGAAAACCTCAAGAGTTTCGTTTTCTCCGTATAATGCCTGTCAGTGTCCATGTGGTCATCTGCATGATCGTTAGCCAGGTTTGAGCCATCACCTTGACCAGAAGTCCACACCAGAGTGGCATCCAACTGATTTTAATTACCTTCCAAGCCATTGGAATTACTAAGAACAAGCCAATGAGTCTCCATTATTCTCCCAGCCCTCAAACACATCCAGGTCTGGAGAAGCACGGAAGGCTTAACCTTGGATTGACCAGAATGCCCTCTGGGCACACCCACGATTTTTCACCTACCCTGTTTCCTCAAGTTCTCCTCTTCTGTCGATGCTCTCTAAACGTCTGGGTCCATCTGGAATTGCCTTCCTCTATCAAGGACAAAAATTGGGTCCTTATGTTCTTTATGAGGCCACACTAGGGCGTCATCTTCTAAACCAGATCTCAGGCCCATGACTTGGGCACAGATCCGGGTCAGTTCTGGAGGAAAGAGGAAGGCAGGCATAGACTAGTTTGGTGAAAAAGCACAGGATTCCCAACTGTGTCCCTCGAGTTACCTTGAGAACATGATGTTATCCTCTAGGTCTGATTCTCATACCCAGGATGTTTGAGATAAAGAGTGTAGAAATGACTTTCAAGCTGAAAAGTGCTGTGCATGCATCTCGTGTGGGATACAGAAGGTTTGCTCAGTTCCAGTTTTCTCGCAGCCGGAGGCGTGCACTTGATGAAATGATGCTGCATCTTTTGCAGTGTTTTCAGCTCCAATTTGCCCCTGTCCCTGCTGGGTCCCAAGGTGGTGGGACCGGTGGAAGATCCATTATCTTCTTCCTTCTCATCTCTTACTGGACTTTAGTTGTCTGATCTCCTACATGCTTTTAAATAAAGGGGGAGTGAGGAGACCTTCAGAAACACTCAGCAATTATTTCCTTGTGAGAACAGCCACCAAGCCATGCTCTGATTTTTAAAGGGGGCCCTGCAGTCATTTTCCAACATGAAAGTTCATAGCAACATGATTACAGGCTATAGCCTGTGCTGTTGCTGTGATGCTTTAATCGGCGATGAAAGTCAAAAGGTTTAATTTAGTCTGGGCTTTTTTTTTTTTTTTTTTTTTTTTTGCACACGAATGATTTTTCTACATAGCCTGTTTTCTCGGAATAAAAATATTTCTCTCCCCCATGCATATAGCCCGCAGCTTCTCAGCCTTTGTTCCATCTCCAGCACACTGCTTCTGATAATAAATTACTCAGCAGTGGATGAATTAGCTGTGTCCAATGTGTGAAAAAAGATTAGGTTGGACCGAAGTAAGGAAATGAGGTTCCAAGCACAGGCACCGGATGAGGCATAAAGATACCGAGATTCTTGCCCTGGATGACAAAGAAGCCAACCTCTATTAGCATCAGGCACACAAATCTGTTATTGGCATTAGCTTACTGAATCCCCACAGCAGCGTCAGGGGCAAGGGCTATTATTATCCTCTTTCTGTAGATGAGGAAACTGGGACACAGAGAAGTTAAGCAACTTGTCCAAGGTCACACAGCTAGTCTTGGACCCTGGGCTTGAACCCAGGTAGCCTACCTTCAGCACCTCGCACTGTCCTTTCTTGGTAGACCTGAGACTATATTAGCTTTGCCTTCATTCACTTATTCAATTCTTCCATTCAACTCTACTGGGGAAGGGGTGAGTTTTTGTAGGAGCTGGCCCCAGAATATTTATGCAGGAGGGACCTGTCCTTAGGTCGTTGTAGGCAGAAGGAATCGACAGTACATGCCAGCACCCTGATAGTGCAGGCTGGGACTGGACAAGGATCATCTGTTGGCCTGGAGCTTATGTGCCCCGAGCTTGTAAATCTGGAGTAACGGCATGGTGAGGGGGGCTCTTCTGGCTGCCTGGGAAATTGGTGCTTGGGGCCACCAGAAGTTGAACATAAAAAGTGCTAAGAAACCTGCAGCCTCCAAAGAACTGCCAACCACTGGGTCCCCAGCGCTGCCCCAACCTCAACCCCGCGGCTTACGAAGAGCAGGAAAAAATGCCTTCCCATGTTCAAACCCACCCCAGCCCCACTGCGTGCCCAGAGACAGCTGGGAAGAGGCAGAGGCCCAGGGAGAGGCTCCAAGGGTGGGGCACAGAAAGCAAGTCACGTGGGGATAGGCTTCTGAGTCTCGAAGGCCACAGCCTGGGGGGTGAGGAGTGGGGCCAAGAAGCAACAGAGGCTGAAAAAGCCAAAGCATTGCCCCTTGGCCCCTGGTCCCCTTTGGCCCTGTGTTTCCTAGGGCCAAACTGGGTAGTTTAAAACAACAGCAATTGATTGCCTCGTTGTTCTAGAGGCTTGAAGCCCAAGATCAAGGTGTCAGCAGGGCCATGCTCGCTCTGCAGTGTATACGGAATCTACTCTTGCCTCTTTTTAGCTTCTGGTGGTTTGCTGGCAGCCTTTGAAGTCACTCCAATCCTCGACTTCACCTGATGCTGCTCTCCCTCCAGCTCTGTCTTCATGTGGCCATCTTTTTGCAAGGACATAGGCCATACTGAATGAGGGGTCCACCCTACTCCAGCAAAATTTCATCTAGCTAGTTGTATCAGTAAGGACCCTATTTCCAAATAAGGTCATATTTTGAGATGCGGGGGTTGCCAACATAGAGGAACACATTTCATCCCAGAAGAGGCCCCAGGGCCCGTCTTGAAAAGGATTTGTTTTGAATACCTGATTTTGGAGCAAGTCACCTGGGTCAACCCACTCTCAAGTGATGCTTTATGTATTTTAGCTCATCTAATTTCCATAATAACCTAACCTGGCAGGGACTCCTGTCTCCATTTGACAGATGAGAAAACTGAGGCTCGCCCGACTGGTTTGGCTCAGTGGATAGAGCGTCAGCTTACGGACTGAGGGGTCCTGAGTTCGATTCCGGTCAATGGCATGTACCTTGGTTGGGGGCACATCCCAGCGGGGGATGTGCAGGAGGCAGCTAATCAATGTTTCTCTTTCATCGATGTTTCTAACTCTCTATCCCTCTCCCTTCCTCTCTGTAAAAAAAATCAATAAAATATATTTTAAAAAGAAAAGAAAACTGAGGCTCAGGGAGATTGAGTGGCTATGGGGGAATTCCAAACCTCACACTCCTGCCTCTCCTAGGAAATGGGGCTCCTGCACCCGTCTCTCCTCTAGTTTGCCACCTTCTCTGCAATCTGCCTGCCCACCCTCATCATTCAGACATCCAGAGATAGAAACCATCTAAGTTCCTCTGCTACTGCATGTCTGATATGAGACTGTACTTGAAAGAAAGAGGCCCCTGAGTCCCATTCCTTT